AGTGTGCAGCATGACAGAGGAGCTGACAGAGAGCAGAGCTATGACAGGATAACTAAACTTCTCACCCTATCTCTAAGGGAGAGTCCAACTACCCTGCGGAGGAAATTCATTTCAACCATCTGTATCCACAATCTCATTCTTTCGGTCACTATCCAGAGCATGTGGCCAAAGTTGAGGGTAGGAACGTAGACCAACCGGTAAACAGAGAGCTACACCATACAAGCTCAGCTCCCTCTACACCACATTGGACTGGTACAGAGTCCGCAATACTGCAGATGCTGCACAAATCTGTCTGTCAATCGCACGCTCCATTCTTCCCTCACTCATGAACAAAACTCAGAGGTACTTGAACTCCTCCACTTGAGGCAGAACCTCACCATCGATCTTAAGAGAGCAATCCATCCCTTTCCGGTTGAGGACCATGGCCTCAGATTTGGAGGTACTGATTCTCATCCCAGCCACTTCACACTTGGCTGCGAACCACTCCAGTGAGAGCTTAAGATCGTTGCATGATGACGCCAACAGGACCACATCATTTGTAAAGAGCAGAGGTGGAATCCTGAGGCCACCGAACTGGAATCCCTCCGCCCCCTGGCTGCACCAAGAAATTCTGTCCATAAAAGTTACTGTAAATGGACTGTACTTAAAAATAGCGCTTTTCTATCATATCAAGATACTCAAAGCGCTTTACAACACAATCTGTGTCCTCATTTACCCATTCATACAGCACTCTACAATATCAATACAGAGAATAATCAGTGCTTAATCACATTCATACACTGATGGGACACACATCGGAGACAATGAGGCGTTCAGTGTCTTGCCCAGGGACACTTCGGCATGTGATTGCTGGTGGAATCAAACCCCCAATTCTTGCATTGGAGGATGATTGCTCTAGCCACTCAGCAACAGCTGTCTCTTATGAACAGAATTGGTGACAGCCCTGGCAGCCTTGGCGGAGTTCAACTCTCACCCTGAAGGGGTCCGACTTACTATCAGCAATGCGAACCAAACTCTCGCATCAATTGTATAGAGACCGAACAGCCTGTAGCAACAGGTCCCCAATCCCATACTCACGGAGCACCCCCCACAGTGTATCCCAAGGAACATGGTCAAATGCCTTTGCCAAGTCCATGAAACACATGTAGACTGGATGGGCAAACTCCCATGACCCCTTGATGACCCTAGTGATAGAAAAGAGCTGGTCCAGTGTTCCACAGCCAGGACAGAACCAGCATTGTTCCTCCTGGATCTGAGTTTCGACTAATGATCGAACTCGCTTCTCCAGTACCCCTGAATAAACCCTACCAGGGAGGCTAAGGAGAGTGATGCCCCTGTAATTGGAACACACACACCTGTCCCCCTTTTTGAAGAGGGAAACCACCACCCCATTCTGCCAATCCAGTGGCACTGCCCCCGATGTCCATGCGATGTTGCAAATGCGTGTCAACCAAGACATCTCCACAACATCCAGAGCCTTAAGGAAATCAGGGTGAATCTCATCCAACCCTGGAGCCCTGTCACCATGAAGCTTTCTAACTACCCTGGCAACCTCAGCCACGGTTCTGCTCAGACCAACCCTGGAGTCCCCCAACTCTGCTGCCTCCATGGAAGACGTATCAGTGGGATTGAGAAGGTCTGAGAAGTATTCCTTCCACCTCCTGATAACATCACATGTTGAGGTCAACAGCCCCCCACCTTCACTGAACGTAGTGTTAGTAAAGTGCTGATTTCCCCTCCTCAGCCACCTAATGGTTTGCCAAAATCTCCTCTGAGCTGACCGAGAGTCTTTATCCAAGGCCTCATCGAATTCCTTCCACATCTGAGCTTTTACCTCAGCAAAAGCCAAGGCTGTGGACCACTTGGCCCTCCGGTACTCCTCAGCTACCTCCAGAGTCCCACCAGCCAACAAGGCCCAATTGGACTCCTTCAGCTTGACAGTCTTCCTAACCTGGGGTGTCCACCACCAAATTTGAGGATGGCCACTGCGAGAAGCACCGACAACCTTGTGGCCACAGCTCCAGGCAGCCACTTCAACAACTGAGTCACAGAACATGGCCCACTCTGACTCAGTGTTCCCCTCCTCAGCTGGGATGCGGTTAAAGCCCCCCCGGAGGTGTGAGTTGAAGATCTTTCTGACAGATTCTTCTGTCAGGCATTCCCAGCAAATCTTCACTACACGTTTGAGTCTGCCGGGTTTGGCTGGCATCTTCTCCCACCATCTGATCCAACTCATTACCAGGTGGTGATCAGTTGACAGAACAGCTCCTCTCTTCACCAGAGTGTCCAAAACAAATGGCCACAGATCAGATGACACAACTACAAAGTCAATCAATGATCTATGACCTAAGGCATCCTGGTGCCAAGTGCACTTATGGACAGTCTTATGTTCAAACATGGCGTTCGTGATGGACAAACTATGACTTGCACAGAAGTCCAACAACAGAATACCACTCAAATTCAAATCAGAGTAGTCATTTCTCTTCCACTTTAATTATTAAAATAGCAATAATAACAGACATTTGTAATAAAAATAATTTTGACAACTGGTTATTAAAACTTTAGGTTAAAAGAAACGGTTTCTTCAAAATATTCTGTTGACAACTTCAGCCAGCCAGCTGCTGGATGGACTTTATTTTAGTTTACCCCAAAATGTTTGCTCTGCTGCTTGTGTAGAGTCACGTCAGTTCAGTTGGAGGTTATACAGCTTGACCCAGGATGGATTATGTCCAGACTACCTCTAAAGGCTACCACATACCAGATTACAAAACAAGACATAGGTTATTGTATTTTGCACTATCAAACATAATTTGATTGCTAAAAAAAACATTTGTAGCAACAGGTCTGAAACACCTCCAAAATTCTTAATTTGATACACTGAAAGAAAGCAATGGACTAAATCTCTTTTATGACTTTGTTTGGAAATATAACATGTAACAGTATGAGTACTCAACAAACACTGTTTAAATTTAAGTGACAGTGACTTTTTAGATGGAAGCATGGTAGGACTAGACTAGATTAGAGTCAGTCTTGAAAATAAGTGTATTTTGTTTCCCATAAACAAAATTGTGATGCTGCAGCAAATGAGGTAGTGGAAGTAGAGAACAAATGATAAGCATAACATGAATCAGTGTAAGTTAGATCAGCAGGGGTCCACAACAGGCAAATGAATGAAAATCCAGAAATGCAAAATGTCAAACTACATTATGTATACAATACTGAAAACTAGACAATAAAAAAAAATCCT